CCGGCGCCGCCCGTTCTCGCCGCCCCCTCCTCCGCGGGCCGCCCGCCCACCCGCGGCAGGGGCGCCCGGCCCGCTCCCCTTGGGATCCCTGACTGACCACCAGGCCGTTCAGCCGGCTCCTCTTCGGCCTGACCCTGCTCGGCGGCGCCTGACCGCACCAGGGCTGAGCCCCTAAGCGTGAGCCTGGTGGGCCAGAAACTCCCCGACACTTTTCCGAAGAAGTTCTGCTTCCTCGGTGGGGTTGGCCTGGCTCCCCCGGACAGCGGCCCCTCGGTGGTAGGCCATGCATCCGCCGCGGAGCACCGGGGAAAAGCAGCTCCCCGCTTCTGCAGGACGCCCGTGGAGTCCCCCGTGGCTGTGTGGGGCTCCTCCTTGAGGCACCCCTTTCCAGCCTGTCTCCTCTGCCCGATGCTCGGGGCCTCGGCCTCCTCCATCTCCCGTGACCTGTAGCCCCTCTTGGTGCGAACAAGGCCCCAGTGTTTTGTGGCTGGTGTGCCAGGGCTGTGGGCCCGCTACCTGTGTGCCCATGGGCGGCAGGGCGTGGGTGTTGGTGTGCATGTTTGGGTGTGTGTGTAAGCACAGCGGCTTCCTCAGAGTCTTGCCGCTGGGCTGCAAGCTGCCTGGGTCAGGCTGTCGCTGGGGAAGGGCCTGAAGCTGGAGTGAGAAGGTGGAAAGTGCCGCACTCTCCTGGGCCTTCGCTGCAAGCGAGAGGCAGCTCAGCGCCCCCAGCGCAGCCCCGGAAACAGCGGAGCAACCCACGCCGGGCAGGCCGGGCAGGCCAGCCGTCTGGCCCTCAGCTCTCTCCCCGTCTGCTCCACCCCGACAGGTGGGGAAGGCGGCCCGCTGGCTCATCTCAGGACCTAAATGGGTGCTCGGCAGCGGCGTCCTGCAGCCTTGCCCGAGGCCAGAGAACCAGACCCGAGGGTAGGGCAGACCACAGGTCTCCCTTTCCTGGGAGTCCTTGGTGAGAAAATGCCAAAGCAGAGCGAGTGCGTCAGGCCCAGAGCCCGCTGAGCCCACACTGAGCACGCCTTGGAAACCTCTCTCAGCGGGGACAGCTGCCCCCAGCCCTCCCCAAGAAGGTGGCCCCGACAGGCACAGGCCACGCTGCCTGCCTGACACAGAGCGCAGGACCTGCCGAGGAATTTCATTCCACTGGACAATATTTTAAGCAGATGTGGGCGTCCCTGGGGACCTGACTCCAGTACCTGAGTCTAAGGCAGCAGGGCAGCCCCAGGGTGGCCCAGAGAACCAACCCCTGTAAGCCACCTCCTGGCCAGGGTCAGGGGGCTGGAGGAAGAAGGAGAGGTCATGGTTATAGTCCAGTATGCAGGGCTGGGCTGTGCCTGAAGCCATATGTGGGGCCTGGAAGGACAACCTTGTCAGTGAGTGTCACCCCCTGAGTCAGAGTTTGAGGACTGCCCCAGAGGGCGCATCTGGGGCTGTAATTTCGTTTGTGTTTCCCTAGGATCCCACTCCCGGGGGGTCTCCCCAGCTGGGCCTGCATGCTGACTGACTAGCAGCACCTTTGGGCCCACACTGGGGGCTCCTAAGTCCAGCTTTCCAAGGGCAGAGGCTGCTGCGGTGCTCAGCACCTCCTCAGTGTGAGCCTAGGGGGCTGGGGGCAGAGTGAAGACAGGTAGGTCCCGGGTCCCCTCACGCTGGCCAGGGCACTGTGGGCCTGCGAGGAATTGGGGCTGTCCCTACCCTACATTTTCAAAACAAAATGCCTAACAAAAGCTTTGTGTCTCAGCCACTGTTGTGAGGCAGGTGGGCAGGTGGGGGTGGTCAACACAGCCAAGGTGCCCTCCTGACCTTCTCATCACACAGCTGGGGGGCCCTGTGCAGGGGAGGATGTGCTCCCAGAGACGGCGTCCAGCCACGGCCCCCATTCGAGCCGCCCCTGAGACCTGATCACCAGGAACGTGGCCCACAACTAGACAGGACATATTCCAGGCCTGGGGAGAGTGTCCTCAGGACAGATGCCGCCTCCCCCTGGGGTGCAGGTGGGGGGCTGCTACCTCTGCTCCAGGGAGGACTTGTGTGTCTGGTGTGTGCGATCGAGCGTGATGTGTACGAGGAAGGTGTGTGTGTGACAGGGTGTGGGGAGCCCGGCTGGAGCCTGAGCTCCTAGGCGGTTCCTTCTCCCCAGCCGAAAGCAGCTCCGGCTCTGCGGGGGCCCTGCCCTTCTCCCGCCCGCCAGGAGAAGTCTGCCCCTTCTACCATTTCTCGCCCCGCAGCCAGGACGGCAGCCTCCGGTCTGGACGCCCGGGAGGGCAGCAGTGCCAGGAAATGTCCGGCAGGAGTCGAGCGTCTCACCCCGCTTCGGGCGAAAACGCCGAGGCCGTGGTGGAGGGGCGGGGTGCAGGGCTGGCGGCCAAGGCCAGGTGCCCCGCGGCAGCGCGCTGAGTGCCTGCAGGCTCTGGCTTCGCCATTGGCCCCGCGGGTGTGCCTGGGCGCCCAGGCCTGTGGGCGGGGGCGGATGCCAAGTCCTGTCCGTTGGGTGACCTCTGAGTGGGCTCCCAGGGGAAGGGCACGGGTTGTGCCCTAAGGTCTCTACCGCCGGACACCCGCCAGGCCACCCTGCACCTCCTGTCGGCCGCTGGTGGAGCAGGTGCGGGCTGGGCTGCCTGACCCTTCGGGCCCCCATGGCTCCCGAAAACCCTGAGTTCCCCTTCTGGGCACAGCACGGGGCAGGGGACCTGGTCCTGCCGTTTCTGTTGGGAGGCCGGGCGCTGGCAGTGGGGCCAGCTGGAGGCTCCCCCCACTGGGCCCCTAGGGGGAGGCCGCCCGCTCGCAGGGCCTCTGTAGGCTAGATTAGCCCCCTGTTTTATTCAATTAGGAGGCAATTAGGGATCCTTGGGGGGCTGGGGCTGGTAATTAAGGTGATGTATAATTAGAGTTTCAACAAAAATTATCCAGGATTAAAAATCTTTTGAATAATTTCGTTTAAAATTTTTCAAATAGCGTTAAAGACAATTTATCAGGTTTTGAATCAAACCCGTGTAACAAGTCTTGGACGCTACAGCTCGAGTAGCGGGCGCGGGAGGACAAGGGACAGCCCTAGCACTGTCCCCCTGCGGGAAGGAAACTTGGCGAAGGGGCAGAGAAGCCGGGCCTTGCTGCGCCGTACAGAGCCGGTCGCGCGCGCGGACACGGGTTGCCCAGGGCTGCAGACAGTGCGGGCTGGCCCGGCCGCGGGGCCTGGGGACCCCAGGCAGAGCCAACGTCGCTGCAGCCCCCTGCTCTCCGTGCACAAAGTCCCGGTAACTACCGCGCGACGCGAACGGCGCTGCCTGCCGTCTGCACAGGGCAGCCGGTTCGAGGGGGTGGCTGCTGCCCCTGGCGCCCTTCACTCCAGCCCGGCCAGCGGGAGCAGCGCCCTCCTCCTCCTCCTCCTCCTCCTCCTCCTCCTCCAGGGCCTAGATCGGCCCCAGGGGTCTCCGCCTCTCGGTTTCCTGGATGGAGAAGGGCGGGCTCCGCGCTCCCAACTCCCGACTCTTGACCCTGACCCAGACTCTGCGGGCGGCAGGCCCGTGTCCCCATCGCAGTCGCTTTGCGGATCTGGGCACAGAGAGTCCAGAGAGCGCTCCAGAGCCTGGGTCAAAGTCAGGGTGGTGTGGGGAGGGGGGAGGATGGTGAGGGGAGAAACCGAAGCGCAGGGTAGAGGTCGGGCTTTGCAGGATCAACCCTGCCTTATTCCGGGGTATGCATCCC